CAGTGGCATTGCTAGGGGTTGGTGTCATCCGGGGCGGCATCTTTGGTGTCACTCCCATGAAATCCAAGGGTGAGGGGATGCGGGGAGTAAACTCCAGTTACATCACTACTGCATGCCCAGTGACTAATGTTTAGCAATGAGAATGTTTAAGGGCCATAAACCGAACAGGACAATACTTCTCAACTTTACTGATAAAATAAATGTAGTAATATTGACAAAACATAAACTCAAATACCACTTTGAGTACAGGCAACAGATCCTACATTTATTCATATTCAACAATGCCCCAAAAAAAAAAAACTTGAAAAATAAATAAAAACATTGCAATATCAGAATATCAGAGAAACGCAAGTTCCGATTTGTCCTTGAATACAGGTAATATCTAAGGGACTCTGATTTTACATTTCCTTGCCTTTAGTCCTGCAAAATCATCTATCACATCAAAATCAATTATTTTCCCCATATAGGCCTATTTGTACTCTGTAATCATATGAAAGGCTATATAGAAATGAAGGATTTTTCTCTTACGTTGCTGCAGCACTGTTTTGGGCATTAGTGTCACTTTCTTTAGAGGCTTTATGGTATTTACTCCTTGATGGTGTCACCCGGGGCGGCCTGCCCCGCCGTCCTCCTTACAACGCCACTGTGTCAGTCCCTTAGTCTTGCTTTCTCCTGCAGGATCCTGTTTCAAGCTGATTCTGCCTTGAAAATCACTGACTGGCTGGTTTCTTCCTCTTACAAAAACCCCCCCTATTCTCAGAAAATTTGCCTGCTGGGCCATGTCATCTTCTCCCATTGCTTTCATGATGCTTTCAATCTCTTTTTTCTTCCCTTGTCTTCTTGCTTCGTAAGCTTTCCCTTCAACTTCCTGGAGCCCATCAACAAAGACTGATCTCTTGCTTTCATTCTCCCACTGTATATCCCTATGTATCCCCTGATTCGATTTAGTTGCCTTCATTTCAGCTTTCCTATGCTCATTCTCTTCACTATCTGTTGTCCCTGGGCCAAGTGATCTTTCATTTTCCTTCTCAGCTTTCCTTGGGCACTGCTGTGGTCTGTTAGGGCCTCTACATAGAGCTTAGCTCTTTCATTTTCTACAGTCCCCTCAATTGTCTTGGTGTTTATCCTCTTTTTTTCTCAGGCTCCACGATGGTCTGATAGGGTCTCTGCATAGTTTCACTCCTTCACTCCCTACAGACCCCTTGTTTGTTACTGATGTAGCAGTTTCTGATGTCATGCCTACATTGCTGTTTAGTCTTTAGGCTATTTCAGATTTTTCAGTTCCTCTTCTAATTTCTGTATCTTAGCCTCTGCTACTGTGACTTGCATCTCCCACTTCCTGCTCTCTGCAGCTATCCTCTCCTCCATTTTCACGCTAAACTCTTCTAGCTTCCTTCTCCACTCATGTTCCCTTTTCATGAACTAAGCTACCCAACCTTCCTTCGCAGACTTATCCTCCAGTCCCCTGGTTTTCCATCCTGGTCTCCGGCAACCCATTTGTTTTTTTGTTGCCACAGAATGAAAAACTATGTATTTCTGTGTGGTTTTGTCATGTGTTTGTCTGAGTGTGTGTGGGGGAGAGGAGAAAGCTGGAGACTGGCCAAATGGGAGAGAGGTAGGGAGGAGGAAATATGGGGAGAGAGAGGAGGAGGGAGAAGCAAAGGAGGGAGAGGAAAGGGGAGGAAGAGGGTGAGAGAGGGAGGGATCAGGGAGGGAGTGGGAGAGGTGGGGGGAAGGTGCAGGGGGGAGAATGTGTGTGGGTCTGTACAGGGCCGGATTAAGAAGTCTCCGGGCCCTAGGCTATTCAGATTGGCGGGGCCCCTTTGAGTTACGGATAAGCGAGGCGACCCCTTCCAGCTTGGGGGGGGGGGGTCGGTGTGAGCCTGTTTAAGGTCTAATTAAAACATTCGGCTATTTAGATTAAATTTAATGGGGAAATTACATCAAGACAACCAAAACCATTTACCAACAGCCATTATAACTATCTTGTTAAATCATGCTTTTTAAAGAGAATAAATCAAGACAGCATAGTATTACTAAAATGGGGCTTTAAATAGTGACATCATGTCCTATTAATTCAGCAAACCACTACAGCAAATTATTTTTTTTTAAAAAAATCACTGACCATTATTTTTTTATTCATTGCATCAGGTTAAGACATAAAATCAATAAACTACAGAAAATTGGGGGGAATCCCCATACCACCCATTAGCGGGAAAACCAGCTTTCTGATGAAACAAAGGCGTTTTGGGGGTTTGCCACTTGGTTAGGTTTTTATTTATTTTTATTTTATTTATTCATTATTTATTTTTTTTTTGTTTTAATTTTTAAAAATAAATTTTTACTCTCCAAACACTTAACTTTTTGGGTGGGGAAACCCCTTTGCACTTGCACCATGTGCGCACCCTTGGATGACCCCGAACCTCGGGCCCCGGGGGGCCCCCAAATGCCGGGGGCCCTAAAAATGCCTAGTTTCCTATGCGAATCCGGCCCGGGGGTCTGTATAGTGGGAATGTTAGTGTGAACGGGTGGGGAAAACTACATGAGGGGGGGTTTTTTGGGTAAAAAGTAGGGGTTTTAGACTGTGTGTTATGTTATAATGTGTATGGGGATTTTTGGCATGTGAACATAGTCTACAGTGTTTCTCCTGACCTGCCCCCACACCTCCCTACAGCTTTTTTCCTCTATGCTTCCCTGTCTGTCGCCCTTTTTTCCCAAATAAATTACAATTTTGCTATTCGCTATTGGGTACTTGAATACTATTTTTTTCTCATACTAGGAGAGTTGGACCTTTCAAAACGCTTGGCATTAAATTTGGAACTCGCACCCGACCCCCAAAAACCAGGCATGGTGAGATATTTGCGATGTAGCCTGTGACTGTCCAACTAGAGAGTAACTGCTTCTTTAACACAGTTAAGGTAGAACAATGTCCTTAAAGGGGCCAGGCCGGGGTTTTGGCAGATGGTAACTTGATACCACCACCACTTTGAAACGGCACCCAGTTCCACACTAAACACACACACACTAACATTTTCCACTGTTTCTTTCGTCTGGTGCTTCAGCTTTTGAGAAGCCCCATGATTTGAGCTTTAGTTTCGGTGTTTATAGACTTCCTTTTAACCCATATAACAAAAACGTTTGCCCCAAAACCAAAGGGAAAACTGGACAAAAATGGGGAAAAATGAAGACAATGCAACAATTTTTATCCACCCAAAAGCCACCCCGGCAATGAGAAGGGCACTGTGAAAATGTGGCGCGGGGGCCCTGACATCGTCAATGGCCCGCCCCGCAGAATGCACAACAAAAAGAGACCCCCGTATGGTAGGCCTTTTATTTTCACATGGGTTTTTGTGGGGGGCACTTACCTGGCATAATGCCATGATGAGCACGTTATATAAATAAATGCCATGCCAAATAGGTAAAACTTGCATTTTTTCTTAAAAAAGCAACATTTGCCGGAAGGAAGCAAAAATTTGTGTATGCAAAATTTTTGCAAAAAACATTTTTAAACCCAAAGATAAAAAATATTTCATTGTGTTTGTTTATTATTTAAAATTGTAAAAGATCTAAAATATTATAGTTGGATAAGGGGTTAAAAAAAAATTGACTTTTTTATAAAAAGGTTAGTTAAGTTTTTCTAAGGTTCTTATGGTACAAAATTATTAATTTTTTTCATTAACATAAATGAAAAAAATTATTATTTTAAACGTATAAGAGAAAAAATTTTAGAAAGGGCTTAATTTTAAATGAGTTCTTGCTAAAATTGGGCCCGTTTTTTAAAATATTTGGCACGACATTTATATATAATAAGTGGACCCCCGGTTAACGATATTTTTTCACTCCCGAAGTTGTTCAGGGCCAGTCTGACCGAATTGTTCCCCAAGAAATATTTTGAAGTAGATTATCCATTTCAGACCGCCAAAATAATGTCAAACGCACTTACATAAATACACTTTCTAATTTGGGTCGCATTCGAGGTAATGTTTGCGGGGGTCCCCCCATATATCCTTACGGCCTAAATGTATGTACAGTATTGAATTTTTTTTTAGACTTATAAACACCACTGAGAGTGGGGAAAAAATCCTTTGGAAATATTTATGTGGTTTACAGAAGTGGGGACTGGGATTTAACGCAAAGGGGAGGTTATACATAAACTCGGTGTATGTTAAAAATTTTTCCCAAAACTTTTTTTCATAGAATCTTTGGGTGGGGAAAAAAAAAGAGACTATTCATCTGTCCATCCTTTTTGTTTTTAAAAACCAAACTTTTGTCATCCGTCAAAAATTAAAGATAAAGCAGATTTACCTGCCTTTAACAAACTGGGTCTTATTCCAAAAATACTCTATTATCTCTCTTTTTTACCACTGTATGATTGGGATTTTATAGATGTTTTTTTTCTGGTTTAAAAGCATCCTGTCTCTCCTTGATTTTAAAGTGTTTCACTTGTTTTTTTAACCAGAGTTTCTGGCTCTTTCATATCAAGCGTTTTTTTTTGTATCGTAAATGGTTTATTAGGGCTTTGCTGCGCCCCTAAAACTCATGTTTTTTCCGCCCCGGTCCCATAGCCTTGCGGGGGCGAAATTCTGGATCAATTTTATATGTAAGCACTGACCATACAGTTGGGTAAATGTAACTCTGATAGAATTAAAATACTAATTAAAAATACACGAAATCGATAAAATGCAAAAAATTTGGATACGTTTTCATATATTTATTCTACATTTTATTGACAGTTTTCCCGTTACCGGTAAAATAGCTTTGGGGCTGCTCTCTCTATCTCTGTTAAGGTCACTGGCTCAAAAATCATACAGAAACAAACTTGCCATGTGGGAGGTGTGTAAGTACTCTATTTGTTTTGAGCAGAATAGATGGCGTTGTGACATGTGCCCAGCAATTTCCCAATGCAAAGGTAATAGGTAAATTTATTTTAAATGTGAATTATGAAATAAGTACATAAATGTGTAGTGCACAGACAGGAGTGTAATGGATGTGTTGTGGTGCTAAATGTTATTGCGTTTATTGTGCAGCTGTATTACTAGGTCCTGAAAAAAGAACATTGTATTTAGAATTTACACAAGCATAGTACGACATGTAGTTAAAAATTTCATCAAACATTTTAGTTAAATGCTCACTTAGCAATTAAAATGGGGTGTGTTCTGCTGTGCTGCTCGGTGAAAGAGTAAAAGGGTGGGACTTCACTTGGTGATGTTACACTTACAGGTGTGTGCTGGCACCGCTGCTGTTTTATGTGTAAGTGCTAAGTTTGACATTATAGACATAAAAACAGTGTTTGGGAAAACTTTTTTCAGAAAACTTTTTCGGCCTGAACCGGGGCTTTTTAAGTCAAATAGACCAACCGGGTGGGGCAAAATATGAGGTAGGACATGAATCAGGGCAGTGAAGAATTTTACATAAAACAAAGGGAACAATGCAGAACCTACTGGCCATCAAGGCAGGTGTATGCTCCGGGCAGGGTCATTTGAGTTCTTTGCTGGGTTGATGGAAATATATTTGGGTATGTTGAGTGGTAATACTGGATACATACTTGACTGGAAAAGTTTTTTCTCGCCCAAAGCCCTGTTTTCCTTTTGGTTTGTACAAAATACCATGATGAGAGGAGGTCATAGAAATTTTTCTTTTGGGCTTTTTATCCCCCATCATACATCGCAAGAAAACCTGCGGAACACATCCTTAAACAATGAGTGTGTCCACCACATAAATACCCCTAGCTTTTTTGGGTCTAAATCTAACGGATGAAATAAGGGGGATAAATGCAGATGGAAACATAATGAAACTTTTTCTAATAATGACATCACAAAACTAACACTTCCAGGGGGAAAAACCCTTTTTGACTTGTGGTAACCTCTATAATATATATATTATTATATATATATATAATATATATATATTATTTTATATATATATATTTTTAAAATATATATAGAACCCTACTCAATCATTATTACCACTTAAATATGATAATGGTATGCAATCCCGAAATTTAAAATAACTAAGACACTGTGCAAGTTAGGTATCTTTTTTTTTGAAATGTGTTGGTATAAAGTACCCAAGTTGCACATGGTCTTAACACACTGCCAATAATATTACTACTCAAAATACATAAAACAATAACACAAGTAACCTGCCTAGCGTTGCAGTGGCACTTGCAGGCTCATGTGTTTTTGTTCTCATATAGTTACTACTATTTTATACAGTACCTAAATTTGTATATTCCCTCCTACAAAAAAATGTTTACCATACTAAAGGGAATTACCAAAAAGCCCCCTGGCTTCTTAAAAAAGGGAACTTGAAAAGCCTTCAAAAAAATTCCCCATCAGCCGGGGTGTGGTGCATTGTTGGCGCTAATCTACACCCAAAAGCAAAGGGTTTAAAGGCCATCAACCAGAAGATTGGTTGGGAAAACCCGGCAGGGGGGCGTTGACCCCCAAAACCGTCTTCAGGTAGAACCCGGGATGATCTTTTGATGTGAAATAAACCCGAAGTAAGGGGTAAAGTTTTCGAAAAAATGTTTTAAATTTTTTTTCGGTGTTTTCATATAAGGTTTGGTATTGCTAACCTTACTGTTGCTGAAACTGTGTTGGGGATGGTTCTGCGCCCCTACCCCTAATTTGCACCACTACAATGGGTTTGTGGTGATTCTTGTTGCAGTACATTTATCTTGACCATATTTGTGTACATAAAAAACCCTTTGGGCGCATATAAAAATTTGATGTTATTTTGTTCTAACATGGTAAAAAAGAAGTTAACTGCTAATAAATTTTTTAATCTTAGTGCATGTTGAACAAATTCTTTGTGGGTTTTTAAAAATTTTTTTATTTTGTATAGTGTTGTTGAGGTGTGTGTGTGGGATGTTGGAGAAAAAGGGGTAACAGTTGTGTGTTGCAGGGGTTGTTTTCTTGTGAGGGTTGGGGCCCCGGGTCTAGGGGGGGAGGGTCGTGGTGCAGGGCGTCCTGGTGATGCTGCTGGTGATGGAGGTGCTGCCCCCACACACTCCTGCCCCAAGTGTGGCCAAAAATACACTTTGCGGTCTAACCTTCCCTCACATCGGGAGGCGGTGGGAGCGGCGTACAGGTGGCTTTCTGTCACAAGAGATTTAGTCAGCTCATCATTTGCGTTACATGGGAAGGGCCTAACGCCCCCGCCATTGTTACTACTGCACAGCCACCCCACTGCCCCTGCCACGCCAGCACAGTCCTCGTGCCATGGTGGTGATCCCGCCCGCAAACCTCTAAAAACCTCAAGTAAGGCAACCCCTGGCCCTCAATTAAGTTAGGGAAGGTTTTCCAGGAAACAGGGCAATGTTCCCGACGCGAATCTTAGTTTTTATGATGCCCCGAGCTGGAGCTTTTTGGGCATCTGACCGGGGGTTTTTTTCCGGCTTACCCGGTTTTCCCTTTAAAAATTATGGTTATAATTATTTGGCCGTCACATTCTTGTTGTTGCCTTTTAACTGATACATCAGCTTGTGCCGTATGAGTTCTGATCCCAGAAATCTGCGGAGCAGGCTAGGTTACGTTAGGCTAGGTTAGGTTAGGCTAGGTTAGGTTGTTAGGCTAGGTTACGCTAGGCTAGGTTAGGTTACGTTAGGCTAGGTTACGTTAGGCTAGGTTACGTTAGGCTAGGTTACGTTAGGTTAGGCTAGGTTACGTTAGGTTAGGCTAGGTTACGTTAGGCTAGGTTATGTTAGGTTACGTTAGGCTAGGTTACGTTAGGCTAGCTGTATAGCCTTTATGGGTTAGCGCTTCTTTTTTATTATAATAATAATAATACATTAGGCTAGGTTACGTTAGGTTGGGTTAGGATAGGTTACGTTAGGTTGGGTTAGGCTAGGTTACGTTAGGCTAGGTTACATTAGGTTATGCTAGGTTAGGTTAGGTTAGGTTAGGCTAGGTTACGATAGGCTAGGTTACGATAGGCTAGGTTACGTTAGGTTAGGCTAGGTTACGTTAGGTTAGGCTAGGTTACGTTTGGCTAGGTTAGGTTACGTTTGGCTAGGTTAGGTTACGTTAGGCTAGGTTACGTTAGGGTAGGTTACGTTAGGTTAGGCTAGGTTACGTTAGGCTAGGCTAGGTTACGTTAGGCTAGGTTAGGTTAGGCTAGGTTAACCTAATTGTGCAAAATTGCATTTAGCTGAATGTATCATTATGTACATAACAGTAAATGAACATAGATAATTATTATTTATCAGTTAGACAAGTAGGAATTTGGGACACCTAGGTTGCAAAAAATGTCCCCCTTCGATACCTACCACTGTCATATCCACAAGTTGCTCTGGACCTATTAATTATAAATGAAAGATACATCACCAGGAATACTGGTAAATATATAAATTTGTGGACTGTATATTAAAATTAAAAAAGGATTATATATACACACATTTACATAACAGAAAGAGAATATCTTAATAACACTCACCAATTTGACTGGAGATTAATGTGTCATGTACAGGACCCCCCTTTTGCCTAAATTTATGAAAAATTTACTGGCCAGAATTTAAACATAAATTAGACAGCTTATCTGAGGTTCCTGGAGTTATCCTGTCCTGTCGCCTGATATCTCAAGTTATGCAGGAATGCACATCCAACAATTTAGGCTCCTATTTGAGAGGTGTCAGCCCAAATTTAACCTCTAGAGCACGAAAATTTCTTCCCATTACTAATGTTAGTCAATTCAAAAACAAAAATGGCGACTGTCCTTCTGCGCAGGCACAGCTTCCCATTTTCGATAACATAAATTTTATTAAATACAGTATGGCCATCTATTTACATATAACTACTGTATTTCTGGAAAATATATACAGTATTTTCCACAATAATCAAGGAGCTCTGGAGGGCACCGGAGACTGTGGAGAGCTGTCCACACAGTCGGCCTAGAAGGGCATGGCTGCCGACCATCTGTGGCTAATTCATCACAGAATGGAAACCCAATAATTAATTGTAATATATCTTAGTATTACAGAGCCTCTGGCAAGACAGTGATGGAGGGAGTGATGGTGAAAGTGTTTAGTCTTTTTCTTGGGGGTCGCTCTGCCCCAGTGGGAAACGTCTGGTTTATTGAAAAAAAAAATTAGAGCCATACGCTGGTGAAAGATAACAGCACCTCCCGTCCTTCCACTGGTCTGTGATATTTTTTGTTAGCAAGTCATGTATGTGTTCCAGAGCACTGAGTTTAACCCTTTGACTGTCGCGGTCGTATATGTACGTCATGGGAGATACCGTGTTTGACGTATCTATACGCATAAATTCTAGCGGCTTCAAATCGAGCGGGAGAGGGCTGGTAGGCCTACACGAGAGAGAATGGGTCTCAGTGGTCGGTGTGCACCCTGTGAAAAAAATCTGGGACTCAGCGGTGCATTGTGGGAACGCCATCTTGGTAGTCCATTTTCACCATGCCTCGCGGTAAGAAGTTCCTCACTCCTCGGCGGATTGGAGGTCTTTTGTTCCCAAGTGATAGCTCAAACAGTGATGATAGTGTCAGTGAAAGTGAATTCCATGGTTTTGAAGCGGGTGTGACCGAGAAATAATTACCAGGATAAACATAATTAGTGATGAAAACCCAGATGACCCACAACCATCCACCTCTGGTGCTGGGCCGGCTCGTTCATATTCACCTGTACCAGGACGAAAGAGGAAACTATTTGCCCGTGTACAAGACTCAGATGTGAGCAGTGCAAGTGATAGTGATAGTGATTTCAAGGTTATTGAAAGCACTTCTAGTTGTGACAGTGAGGGTGAATATTCCCCAGTGAAACGGCAGTATGTACGACGTTGCATGCGGTCTGGTAGTGTGCCATATGCTCTTCCAAGAGGAAGGAGTACATCTCGGAGCACATCCCGTGGCCCTACACCACGTCCTGATAGTGAAGATGACGATATTGTTACGATGGGTATAAATGATGTGAGTGAGGCAGCAGGCGGTGGTGGTGATAGTGACGGTGCCATGAGTCATGTGACACAGCAGCGGGCCACGCTAGTGCCCGCGCTGCTGGACTCTGCACAACTACAACCTGCTTCGGCCGACCCCACACTCTCACAACCACAACCACAACCTGCACAACCACAACGACATTACAATATCCAGAATGCACCAGCTGACCGCATCTGGGATTGGCATCAAAGATGACGAGTTTGTTCCCAATCCCCATGACTTTGATGAAGGACAAAGTGGAATACGGCCATCATGTACACTTGGGAACAATCCACTGAACTGGAATGCTTTCAGTTTGTTCTTCGATGAACCCCTGATGGACATTATTGTCAGGGAAAGCAATACATACTATGAGTACACCATGGCAAACACTATGCTTTCACCAAGATCACGCCTACACCAGTGGAAGGACACAAACTGTGGCAGAGATGTATCTGTTCTTTGCCACAATAATGCTTATGCCACATGTGTATAAGCATAGTGTCAGCACATCTGGGCGACAGACCGCCTGATTTCAACCCCTGCTTTCAGTGACATTATTACCAGTGAATAGATTTGTGTTACTGTTACGTATGTTACACTTTTCAGACAAAACCAGGCCTGACAGAAGCGACAGGTTATATAAGATCAGACGTGTGTTTATGTACCTGAAACAAAAGTGCTGTATGTATTTTTATCCCTTCAGGAAGCTTGTTATTGACGAGTCTTTGATTTTGTTCAAAGGAAGACTCTCATTCAAGCAGGTCTGGTTTTGGATATAATTGTGTACACTGGCGGTAAAACAATGGAAGATACCAGGAAGTTACTGGGTATCTCTGGTGATGTGGTTAGAACAATGATGGAGCCATATCTTGGTAAGGGGCATATTTTATATACTGACAATGGTACACAAGCCCTATACTCAGTGATTTCTTGCGAGTGAACATGACAGATGTGTGTGGCACAGTGCGTAGAAGTCGTAAACATATGCCTAGGTTCGAAGCTGGCAGTCGTAGAGGTGAAGTGCAGGTGTTTGCTGCCAATGACATCATGGCATTTCGGTGGCATGACAAACGTGATGTCACACTGCTGACATCAGTTCACCGACACGAAATGGTTAGAGACTGGCAAGCAGAATAGAGAGACCAAAGAAACCTATTGTAAAACCTGCAGCTGTGATGGATTACAACCTCAATATGCGCTTAGTGGACAAATGTGACATGCAGATTGGGTTTGCTGACTGTGTTCGCAAGAGTTATAAGTGGTACATAAAACTGTTTTTCCATCTTCTTGACATTTCCATGCTGAATGCTTATAATATGTATAAGTTGAAGACCAAGAACAAACCCAAATATGGTGAATTTTGTTTGTCAGTCATCAGACAATATAATATTCAAGTACCAAGAAACAACACCTGCAATAGACCAGCGCCCACGAAATTATCAACACATGTCCTCTCGTCTGAGGCCTGGTGATCACTACCCCATACCACTGCTGCTACTACTGCCAAGAAAAATGCTCAGAAGAGGTGTTTTGTCTGTGGACATACCACAAAACGCTAACAAAAACGCAGAGACACACGTTTTATGTGTGAGGAGTGTAAGACACCATTGTGCTTATACCCATGTTTCAAAGAATTCCACAAGCTGCAGCACTTCTAATAAAGTGTCAGTGATTGTACATATGTATATATATTATAAAGCAATCGTAATAAACATTTGTTTACATTGTTTGTTTGTGTAAACAAGTTTTAGCAACATTATAATGATACGAGTGTTTTTGCTATAATTGTGTTACATTCAACGAGTGTATATTTGAACATTGCACAATAATTTGGTCTCACAGGCCACAAAAGTTATGTGAAAAAATAAAATAGTGAAAAAAACAAGAAACCATCGAATACAAGTAAATAAAAGTTTACCGGGTGAGCGGCAGTCGCCGCTGTTGCCGCCAGCAGATCAATTTCAGCAAACTTCAGGACTCTTATCTCGGTAAGTACTGATGGGAAAAATTTTTTTTGGGGACTAAAACAATCAGAAAAATAATCTTAACATTTTCATAAGAAAAAATAATTTTTTTTTTTTTCGAATATTTTGCGACACCAGAAACAACTTCAGGATTTGGCCCTTCGACAGTCAAAGGGTTAAAAATGTACTGAAGATGTTGTTGTGCATGATTATTTTCTTGAGGCAAGTGAACACAGTGATATCAGAAGCTGTCAGAATAGCAGGAAATGCTGTTGTTACCTAACATGGTACAGTTATGGTAATACAAACGTTGTTTTGAGTATCTGTGATTAAAAATCCATTTTTATTCACTTGTTCCATGACTTAGTTCCAGCACTTCTCTATAACCAGTCTTATCATGACACTAATTTCATGTATTCCGTCAGCAACCCTATAACCAGTCTTATCATGACACTAATTTCATGTATTCCGTCAGCAACCCTAAGTATGCCTAATTTTTCCCTCATATTCAGTATTTTGGTGGTTATAGGGCATATTTTTATTTTAGTCTTTCAACATTTTTCCTGTTTTTCAGGTAATCTATTAGTGATCTTACGTAAACTCAGTACATCATTTTGGCAACTCTAATATTGTCACCTTACTTAAGATTGTTCCAATCATAATCATTTAATGAAATAGTTCGATGCTGAACTGGTTATCAAGGAAGGTGATAAATACAGGGGACGTGTCTAGAATTCCCCCTGATCACCACCTCTGCACTGAATACCTGGAGTATATCTGGAGGGTGCTTCGGGGTCAACGCCCCCGCGGCCCGGTCCATGACCAGGCCACGTGGTGGATCAGGGTTTGATCAACCTGGCTGTTACTGCTGGCCGCACGTAAACTGACTTACAAACCACAGCCCGGCTGGTCAGGTACTGACTTTAGGTGCCTGTCCAGCGCTTTCTTCAAGACAGCCAGGGGTCTATTGGTAATCCCCCTTATGTATGCTGGGCTCCTGACACTTACTGTGTTGTTCTTAGCTTTCTCGTGGCACCCCTGCTTTTCACTAGGGGAATGTTGCATCTCCTGCCGAGTCTTTTGCTTTCATAGGGAGTTATTTTCATATGCAGATTTGAGAATAGTCGCTCTGGATTTTCCAAGTGTATATTAAACATGTATCTTTTTTCGCCTGCATTCCAGGGAGTACAAATCAAGGGACTTCAATAGTTCCTAGTAAATTAGGTGCTTTTATCGTACTTATATGTGCAGTGAAAGTTCTCTAAAACATTCTCCCGGACTGCAGTTTCGCTTGCTTTGAAAGGGGCCATTTGTGTACAATAATATTCCAGCTTAGAGAGAACAACGATTTTAAGAGAATCATCATGGACATGGCATCTCTAGTTTGAATGTTCTCATTATCCATGCTATCATTTTCCTGGCATGTGGTGGTAGATACATTATTGTTATCTTTGAAAGTGATGTTCTCTGACATTAATGACTTCCAGGTCCTTCACAAATTTGTTTTTCACTCTATTTTGGGGGTTGGAATTTGTTTTATACTCCGAAACAAATTTAATTTCCTGAGTTTTCCCTAGCGGAGTAATCGAAATTTGTCATCAATGAACTTCATATAGTTTTCTGCGGCCCATTTAAAAAATTTGGTCGATATCTGCTTGGAGATTTGCAGGTCTTCGACGGATGGTCGCTTG